TCTGCTCAGGTACCCCCAGAGCAAGCTGCTGCCTATGGGGTCACGAGTGCCAGTGGGGGACCTGAGAAGAGGAGGCTCGGGGCTGCTCTGTGCATTGCACAGAACAGATACAGCCAGTACATGTTACTTGAAAAATTAAGAAAAAAAAAAAAATCTTTACAATCACTTTAAAAACCAAATGTTCATGGTGGGTGTGTACCTTTAAGGTCAACTGCAAAATTGCACTTGGCAGCAACGAACAAAGAAAGCTAAGCAGAAGTGCTTGGTTATCTCTGGGAATGTTATTTTCTTGTGCATAATTAGCTAGCAAATTTTATAGAATGGCTACTCTTAACTGTATTTTCTATTTATGTACCATCTGGAATGGAGTTTAATCTACTATCCTAGCATCTGCCTAATCCAGGGAGCTCTAAAAATGGCTGTGATTTCTATTTTCAGAATCCATGCAAAGACACAGAAGGGCAGTGTGCCTGTTCATTTAACCACTTGCCCTCCAAAGATTTAACCCCCCTTTCTGACCAGGCCATTTTTTGCAATACGGCACTGTGTTACTTTAACTGACAATTGCACGGTCATGCAACGCTATACATAAATAAAATTTATGTTATTTTTTCCTCAGAAATAGAGATTTCTTAAGGTGATATTTGATCACCTCTGCATTCTTATTTTTTAACAAAAAAAAAGACTGACAAAAAAAAAAAGAAAAAAAACAAACAAAACAATATTTTCGACATTTTGCTATAAACATATCCAATAAAAAAATGTCGGCATTAATTTAGGCCAAAATATATTCTGCTACGTCTTTGCTAAACAAAATCCCAATAAGCGTATATTAATTGGTTTAAGTTAAAGTTATAGCGTCTACAAATTTGTATACTAGTAAAGGCGGCAATCAGTGACTTATAGCGGGACTGTGGCAGGCAATCTGACACTGGGTGGGAACTGACATCTCCAGTGACACTAATATAGTGATCAGTGCTAATAAAAAAGCACTGTACTAATGACACTGGGCAGGAAGAGGTTAACATCTGGGGCGATCAAAGGGTTAACTGTGTGTTAGGGAGTGATTTTATTGTGTACTGTACGCGGTTTTACTAAGCAGACCTGCTGCTTTCTATCTCTCTGCTAGACAGGACACCTTTTCCTGTTGTTTCTTAGCATTACTTATTCTTGCTGAACAACTTAATGAACTAGTCTTTAAAATATCTTATGTATTATATTGCATGCACAATTCTTCTTTGATGTATTTATACCTTCGTATAGCATAACAGAAGATAACAGCACTATATAAATATGTATGCCAGCAATATGTAAAGAATATAGAAAAGCACAGCAAAATGAATACAGGAAGAGAACACACAAATCAAATTACATCAGACATGAAATCATAACTCCTAAAAATGTACAAATATGGAGGGAGAAAGTGCTTTACCTTTCTCATTAAACAATTCTTTGCAGGACAGAGATACATATGGAAGCTGAAACAAAATGTAGGATTGCTGATCGTAAAATCAGAGATTTCAACAGATTTAATTAGCTAAAGTACAGTTGTGTTAAAAATAATAGCAGTCAGACATCACTAACCTGATCAATCACTGTTTTTGGTAGAAATTATATCTCTACATGGCAAATAATTTACTAGCAGGTGTAGTAGAGTAATAGAAATCCAACAGACCCAACAGTCATGACATGCATGCTGCTGATTCTGTGTAACTGAATCACTAATTGAAAGGGGCATGTTCAAAATAATAGCAGTGTGGAGTTCTATTAGTGAGGTCATTCATTCTTTGAAAAACAGGTGGCAATTATTGCCCTTATTTAAGGAAGGAAGGCAGCAAATGTTGTACATGCTGGTTACAGTGCATTTCTCTCTGAAATTCTGAGGAAAATGGGTCGTTCCAGACATTGTTCAGAAGAACAGCGTACCTGGATTAAAAAGTTGATTGGAGAGGGGAAAACATATAAAGAAGTACAGAAAATGATAGGCTGCTCAGCTAAAATGATCGCAAATGCCTTAAAATGGCAACCAAAACCTGAAAGACGTGGAAGAAAGTGAAAAACTACTATTCGAATGGATAGAATAGCCAAAATGGCAAGGACTCAGCCAACAATCAGCTCTAGGAAGATCAAAGAAGATCTAAAGTTTCCTGTGAGTATTGTTACAAATAGAAGACGCCTATGTGAAGCCAAGCTATCTGCAAGAAGCCCCCGCAAAGTCCCACTGTTGAAAAAAAGACGTGCTGAAGAGGTTACAATTTGCCGAAGAGCACATTGACTGGCCTAAAGAGAAATGGTGCAACATTTTGTGGACTGATGAAAGTAAGATTGTTCTTTTTGGGTCTAGTGGCCGGAGACAGTTTGTCAGACGACCCCCAAACACTGAATTCAAGCCACAGTACACTGTGAAGACAGTGCGCAAGCATCATGATATGGAGATGTTTCTCAATACTACGGTGTTGGGCCTATTTATCGCATACCAGGGATCATGCATCAGTTTGAATACATTAGAATACTTGAAGAGGTCATGCTGCCTTATGCTGAAGAGGAAATGCCCTTGAAATGGGTGTTCCAACAAGACAACGACCCCAAACACACCAGTAAACGTGCAACATCTTGGTTCCAGACCAACAAGATTGACGTTATGGAGTGGCCAGCCCAATCCCCGGATCTTAATCCAATAGAAAACTTGTGGGGCGACATAAAAAATGCAGTTTCTGAGGCAAAACCAAGAAATAGAGAACAGTGGAATGTAGTCCAATCATCCTGGGCTGGAATACCTGTTCACAGGTGCCAGAAGTTGGTTGACTCCATGCAACACAGATGTACAGCAGTTCTCAGAAACAGTGCTTATACAACTAAATATTCATTAAGTGATTCAAAGGAAAGCAAAATCTTCAAACATTTTTCAGTTTATATAGTGAATGTTTTGAGTTTGTAAAGAAGAAAACAAACACTGCTATTTTTTTGAACAGTCTAATATTCACTTTTCTTCAATTTTTTTAGAGGAACAACACATTTGATATATTTTTCTTCATGTTTTGATTTGGAATAGAATGTGTAGTGTTCCCAATGCATTTGTGTGTATGGAAATAAAAGCTATTAGAAGGATTTTGAGCTGTATTCACTTTTTTTTAACACACTGCTATTATTTTGAACACAACTGTATATGTAATATGTGCTGTATACAATTAAAAGTGTTTTACTATAGTAGGTTGATGAGTGCACAAACTATTGATCCTGTCAGAAATTCAGAGTTGTCCTTTGCCTTGCCTCTGTTATCTCAAGGAGTCTAATTACCCCACCCAAATCTTATTTTGGACTACAAAAGTTCATCCCTATGTTGACAAGGAGAGGGGAAGAGTTTCTGTAGTTCAGCAATAAACAATTTTGCAAGGCTGATATAATTTCCTGTTTTAGTTCAGATAAGGCACTGTGAGTGACTTTCTAGTAGAATAACATGTATTTTTCTGTATTTGTGCATTTGTAAAAGGGATAAAACCTGTAGGAATGAGCATGCAGCGTGGAGATGTACTGTATTTCTTACTGTTGCATATCACATACTTTTTTTTTTTTTTTTAATGTATGGTATGCAAATATTCAGCCACAGAGAAAACAGAAAGACCCTCAATTTACCTGAAAGTCAAATAACCCAATATTTGGCCTCATGCACATGAAAATTTTTTAGCTGAAAACCGCTCCAGCTCAAAATCCCCAGTGATTTACAAACATCAGGGAAGTTGAAGGTGCCGCATACAGCTACTGATACAGGTGAATGGCTGTACGTGATTGTACTTTCGTACATGCCGATTGCAGCTGCGTTTACCTACATATGCACGCACAACATATTTCTCCAAGAGCACCGCTTTTGTACACACATGTGGAGGAGTAACATCATCAGTGGCAGCCCCATGGCGACAGAAAAATTACTTCAGGCTAGAAGATGCCCAGAAGATGGAGTGACAAGGGGGAGCAAGGATATATCCATACACTAATCTTGCCAGATTGGATATATATAAAAAAAAAAAAAAAAAAAAAAAAACACAACAGGCTGCAAGAAAATCTGGGAAAGTGGAAACATTGGAACTTGCATTACATGACTTATTCAATTCAATTTTGGAACACATACACACACACATACACATACTGTATATATATTTATTGTGATATGGGGTAGTTAGGTCTCGTGGTAGATGTGTTTTAGGGAGTCCACGGAAGATAGGAACTATTTTTAGGGGTTTAATATCCCATTTTTATTTAAAAGAAGGCAAAAAGTTCACAATACAATGATTTCCCATGTAGGGGATCTTCTCCAAATTGAACAGAAATTCATACACTGGAAAATGCCAAGTCACCTGGCTCATACGTTAAATCAGCTTCCGTTGCAGTACCTCTCCTGGATACTTGACTCTCTAGCCTTTAGACAAAGTAGTGCCTTACTGTAAGGCCCACCTCTGGCCTATGGATGGGGTTCTCCTGACACCCCAATAGGAGCCGACCTGACTCCTGGAACTGAGACCTTTGTCTCCTGGCCTTCTTCTGACCCTTCAATGAGACCAGTGTGGGAGACGTCTCCAACTGGGCTTCTCAAACAGCTCCCCTCACACACTCTGACCTCCTTCAGGAAGGTGGGGGCCCTGAGCTCTCTCTCTGGCTCTAATATAAATGCAGCACACACCTGCATCATTAACGTGCTTGTTTTCTCCAAAATGTGACGTAAACCACCATTTTCCCCAGTGGTCACTCTGCTAATATAGATTTATAAAGAAATCTAAAAAAATAACTATAAAAATCCACAATGTGATTTCCATTAAAAAATGATTTCTCAAGCTCCTATTCCAGAGTAGATTGTATTGGCCACAATGTTTACTAAGAATGCGCTTTAATGGTTTCATAACAATGTCTCACCCAGTCACGACAGACATAACCATTAATTCTTCACACCGTAAAAACTCTGACTGTTTTGCCAAAAGCTCAATTTGAATTGATTTCATTTTACTCACTGCGTAATAGAATTCTGAACACTCTTTTCATTTAATGTCATTCCGGGTGGCGGCTCATTTTTGTAAAGCCAACAATTCCTTCTGAAGCCGTTTCTAAAAAATATAAAATATTAGGTGATATTCATACATTAGTATTGTGTTTTTGGTTTACAGTGCAATAGCTTTTCACCAAAAATTTATGATCTTATTATAAATGATTATTTTAATACTCACTTAAAGCTGTATTAAATCCAAAATTAAACATTTTTTATATTTTACAGTTTACCATTTCCTACATGTGATGGCCACATTCATGTGTTTTGGTAATCCAGCCAGCGAGTCTGTTTTTCAAAAAAACTAACTCTCCAGCAGAATGTATCAGTTACAAAGATAAGAAAAACCATTAACCACTGACAGGGGTGCTTAAAATGATCAGCTTTTATACAAAACCTTTATCCCAAAAAGAAGAAAAAATGTTTGCTGCAACTGTTTAAAAAGAGTGAGCTCAAGTTTGGCTTCAACTTGTTAGTGTATCTAAATCTGCTAGTACAACACTTACCTCCCCCAAGACTCACAATGATGCTGTGCAAAGGTGCCCTCTGTGTTCCTTCATCAAATGTGGGGCACTCTAATACAAAAAGCCAGATCATCAAATGAAAACGGGGGGGGGGGGGGGATCCTAAAAAAGAAAACTAATGCAGCCACCACATCTAATGACTAGTAAGCTGCAACATATTAACATTTTTGGGTTTGGCTTTAAAGTGGTTGTAAAGGATGAATTTTGTATTTCCTTCCCGCACTCTATGCATGAAGGTAAGAAATCTCCTGTTTGCTGTCCAATCCCCCAATCCCCCAACCCCCCCCCCCCCCCCCCCCCCCCCCCCCCCCCCCCCCGAGCCTGATCTCAATGGCTCTCCCAGCTCTCTCCCTCCTCCTTGGCTCCTGCTGTTGTCAATCACAGCCAGTGAGGAGGGAAGGGGGCTGAAACAAGCATGCATTAGTGCCCCCGTAGTAAGCAGCTTGCTATGGGAACACTCAGCAAGGGGAAGGGGCCAGAAGTGCTGGCAGGCACACAAGAAAAAGAGGATTGGGGCTCTCTGCGTAAAACCATTGCTCAGAGCAGTAAATACGATGTTTGTGATTTTTAAAAATTAAAAACTAGGCCTTTAATATCACATTATTAACGCTTTAAAGTTCTGTTTAATATGTTGTGAACTTCCAACTACCTTTTAAGTGGAAAAACAAACAATTGGATCCAAGGAACACACCACCAGCAGTTTTGTTTATGTTCTTGCAGTACCTGTTCATGCAAGTTATAGTACAGCTTATACGAGCGGAGGGGGGGGGCAGAAAGGGTAGGCATAATCAGCATTCTTCAGTGCCTGTCACAGTTCCCTCAGCGCTAGTAACCCCGCAGAATGGGGGGATTGCCACTGTGAGAGTAGTGGGGGGTTCAGAGGACTTCAGATTTCAACGAAAACAGCAGCCATGAGCACAAGGGACACTTCACAATTATAAAAAAAAAAATCTGTCCCTTGTGCTGGTTTTAAAAATAAATGTATGACTAACCGTAGGCTTTACTGATACAATGCGTTTAAGTATAACTAAAAATAACTAAAAGGCAAAACATTTTTTTTTTTTTTGGTTTTGGATGAGTGGCGAGGGATTCAAATGCTTGCCAGTTTTTATTGCTGTCTGTGTCTGCCAGAAAAGTAATAGAGGGCTCTAGTTCTGGTGACCTTGGGATCCCCAAGGAATCCCTTTAATTTGCAGGGGTTTCCTCTCACTTCCTGTTTGGTTATGGGACAGGATGTGAAGGGAAATCTCCGCAATGGGACACAGAGGGCAAAAAAAAAAAAATCTGACAGAGGTTATAACCCTCCCTAACTCTATTAACCTCTTGGCGCCGGTGCCTCCTTGCCCTTTAAGAGTTTCAGAAGCCGGGACGAGGTTTTAGGGTCACGTGACCACCGTCACATGATCGGAAAAGGTCCCGATTGAAAGGGGAGATCGGGACCTTTCTGGGAGTCGCAGACATATGTGCTGGGAGCGTGCACTCTCAGCACATATGTATTTTCTAATTGCACGAAAATATGCGGCCGCTTGGCATCAAGGCGTCAACAAGTCCTGTATTCATGTCCTGGTGTTTTGTGTGTCCTATGGATCAATAAATACACACTATATTCATCTACCCTCCGGTGTGCGACTGACCCTTCTTCCTATTGCATTGTGTGTGGTGGCGAGCCAGAGCCTGCACCTGTTGTGGATTGATCTGGATTGTTTGAGTGGTATACCTTTTGTTCTTTGGATCCAGACGCCGAGAGGCTGCATATTTGCATGCGATCAGCATCAAGTGGTTAAATATGAAAAGAAAAGTTTTGCCTATAGTTCTACTTTAATGATAGAGGGCCATGATTTATTTGTTCGTTATATTTAGCAACTGGGAGCTAGTAAACAAATGATTATTTTCAGACAATTTCAAACATTTTTATCCAGCTTTCAATCACAAGAACAAACGGACCAAGGCAACTTATAACAAACAAGTTCTACCAGAGCAATCCAAACTGCTAGAGGAGTGTTCCTTGGATCCATCGGCTTGTTTTCGCACTTAAAAACCGGGTGAAAGTTCACAAAAGGTGACTTAAGGAAAGACACAAGTCAGGCTGAACGAATCACAATATTCGTAAAAACTGTACATGCGGGCGGTACAAACAATATCAAAGCCAAGAGGAAAGCAAATAGGCACAGTACACATAGAGCACTTTATACTGCTAAATAGCTGGCCTCAGTTCAATGAACTGCATGATGAATGGACAAGAGCAGGGCATTATCCTGATGTAAAATCTCCTAGTGTGAAGAATCAGACTTTTTGCTGTATTATGTCCTGCAGTAATCATACAAAACTTTTTATTGCACACAGACAGCAACTTAGCTAAATCATTTTTGATGTAACATCTTGCAATATTGACCCTTGACCTTTGTAGTATCTGGTAATACACAGCAATATGTATGAATAAAATCATCTGAGGACACAGTATGCAAATATTTCATCAGGTCATCTGAAATGGGGCCTCTCTTCTTCACAGCTGGGAGAACGAATTGCCTGTCTGGGGAATTCATCTAGTGCTTAACCTTTTCAATTCATCTGCTTCGCCACGCTTTGTAAGTTACAGGATAATGAAAAAAAAGTGTGCATTCAATGTAGTGCGGACACATCCCATCCAAATCACAGCCTAGGAGCCTATGACTGATGGCCTCAAATAAAAATAACCTGACATTACCAAAAAAATGACAGACAGATTACATAGTATAAACAAGGAATCCATGTATAACAGCCATAGAGGCATGTCAATTGCAACACAACCACAATCTAATGATCACCAAACCCAGCCATTATGTACTTCACACAATGTAATCATCATGATGAAATCTTACGCTGTAAAGGATCACTAGTGGGCCTATGACCATCCATGTGTATTACTACCAGAAGAAAAAAAGCAGGCCATTAGAGAAGGTCGCAGGAAAAAGCACGACCCATTTGTTTACCCTTTGAATGCTTCAAGTGCAGTACTGAAAACAAGCCACAGGAATTAAATTAAAAATAAAATCCACCCTTGCAGTGGATTTAAAGGCATGTTATGTCTAGAGGTTAAAGTACAGGCTGTAGTACTTACCTTACACAAATTGTACACACTGAGGAGGCTGGAGTGTGACCAGAGCAGATCACAGCTTACAGAGGAGGATGTGGGGGGCTGGCCATGACATTAGAGGGGCCCCACTAGAGCGAGGAAGAAGTTAAATATTTACACCTTATTCATTTATTTATTTCAGGTACTTACATAGCGCCGTCAATTTACGCAGCACTTTACATATACACCCTATTCCAAATTATTATGTAAATTCTATTTAAGTGTCACAAAGATTAAATATTTTGTTTTTCAGTTTAACTCATGGATGGCATTGTGTGTCAGGGCTCTTCTGATCACTGAAAACAATCTCGGACACCTGTGATAATTAGATTGGCCGGTGAGCCCAATTTAAGGAAAAACTACTAAAGGAGGGTGTTCCACATTATTAAGCAGAGCACCATTTTCAAGCAATATGGGAAGAAAAAGGATCTCTCTGCTGTCGAAAAAGAGTGAAATAGTTCAATGCCTTGGACGAGGTATGAAAACATTATATATTTCACAAAAACTTAAGCGTGATCATCACACTATTAAGAGATTTGTGGCTGCTTCAGAGCACAGACGGGTTCATGCAGATAAAGGCACATTGAGGAAGATTTCTGCCAGATCCATGCATCTGATCAAGAGAGCAGCTGCTAAAATACCATTACATAGCAGCAAACAGATATTTGAAGCTGCTGGTGCCTCTGGAGTCCCACGGACATATCAAGGTGTAGAGTCCTCCAGAGTCTTGCAACTGTGCATACACCTTCTATTCGGCCACCACTAACCAATGCAAACAAGTAGAAACGGCTGCATTGGGCTGAAAAATACATGAGGACTAATTTTCAAACAGTCCTGTTCACTGATGAGTGCCGTGCAACCCTGGATGGTCCAGATGAATGGAGTAGTGGATGGTTGGTGGATGGCCACCCTGTTCCAACAAGGCTGTGACGTCAGCTAGGCAGTGGTGGAGTCATGTTTTGGGCCAGAATCATGGGAACAGAGCTGGTTGGCCCCTTTAGGGTCCCCGAAGGTGTAAAGATGACCTCTGCAAAGTATGTGGAGTTTATGACTGACCACTTTCTTCCCTGGTACAGAAGGAAGAACTATGCTTTCCATAGTAAAATCATCTTCATGCATGACAATGCACCATCTCATGCTGCAAAGAATACCTCTGCATCAATGACTGCTATGGGGATAAAAGGAGAGAAAGTCATGGTGTGGCCTCCATCCTCCCCTGACCTCAATCCTATTGAGAACCTTTGGAGCATCCTCAAGCAAAAGATCTATGAGGGTGGGAGGCAGTTTACATCCAAACAGTAGCTCTGGGAGGCTATTCTGACATCTTGCAAACAAATTCAAGCAGAAACTGTCCAAAAACTCACAAGTTCAATGGATGCAAGACTTGTGAAGCTGCTATCAAATAAGGGGTCCTATGTTAAAATGTA